CTCCAATAGGTTAACAACTTGCCTTACATTACTCTTCATTTGTCTACCATTTATAAAACCAGTTTGATCATTATGAATCATTTGTTGCATGACTGTCATTAACCTATTTGCTAATATTTTAGCAAAAATCTTGTAATCTGTATTTAAGAGTGATATGGGCCTATAATTTTTTGGCTGGGTATGGTCTTGCTCCTCCTTTGGAATCAAAGAAATATAAGTTGTCCTCCAAGATGGGGGTACATCTCCTCCAGATTGTATATTAGTAAATAATTCTTTAAGTGGTCCCACCATTTCTAACTGCAAATGTTTATAATAAGCTGTCCCAGGAGTTTTACCCACTTTCAACTGCTTAATTGCAGACGTAATCTCCTCAGTAGTTATTAGTTGATTTAAACCCTCCCTTTGCTCTTTTGTAATTGTAGGAGTATACTCTTTCTGTAGGTATCTATCTATATCTGTACCTTGAATTTTATCACCAGCATACAACCTCGTATAAAATTCTAAAAATGCTTTTTTAATCATATTTTGCTGATAAACCTCTTTACCTTTATATTCTATTTTCTCTATGGTCTGTGACTTTTGCTTTTTCCTTAACAAATATGCTAACCACCTCCCTGGTTTATTAGCATTACAAAAAGTATTATGTTTAGCATATTGCAAATTAGTTGCGACCTGATCTGCCATTAACATATTAAATTCCCCGCGCAATAAATTAATTGCCTCTTTTATTTTCTTATCTGCTGGATTCAATATCAAAGCTTGTTCTTTTTTCCTGATTTCCTCTTCTAAGTCCTTCCTTTTTTCCCCTGTTTACGTCTATATTTATTATTCAAATATATCAAAATGCCTCTTATATATGCTTTACTTGCATCCCATACCATTTCCATAGATTATGCATATTTATAATAAAAAATTCTTTCATAAATTTTTTACATTCTTTTACATTTTCCTCATATCTAAACAAATTTTCATTTAACCTCCAAGACCTCTTAGATCCCCTTCCATACTCTAATTCCATCCAGACTGGACTATGATTGGTTAAAACTTTTGGGCAAATCTTCGTCTTCTTCACTCTGGAAAAGAAATCATTTGTAATTAATATAAAATCAATCCTTGAGAAAGATTGATGTCTATCAGAAAAAAAGGTAAAGTCTTTTTCTTCGGGGTTTCTCTCTCGCCAGATATCTCTCAGTTCCATGTCCTCCATCATTTCAAAAAACGATTTTGGCAATCTGGCACACGTTGAAATGTTCTGCAAGAGCCCCTTCTTATCTTTTTTAGTGTCCAAAACTCCATTCCAGTCGCCCAATAAAATACATGATTTATAATCCCATTGTAATAACTTGGAATGTAAAAGCTTATAAAATTTTTCCTGTTGTTGGTTCGGTGCGTAGACTCCAATTAAAAGTATTTTTTCTCCTTTTATTAACAGTTCAATTGCTAAAAATCTTCCTTGATCATCTGCTTCAATTAATTTGGCAATTAAGTCTTTTTTAGGTATATAACTATACCATTCTTCTTCTCAGGAGCAGATGCAACAAAATGTATACCTAACCTTGCATTTATTAAATATTTTTGATCTTTACTTCTAATATGAGTCTCTTGTAAACAAATTACATCATTTTTAAACTGTTTCAAATAATGAAATATTTTTCTCCTCTTTTGTAGTGAATTTAGGCCATTAACATTCCAGGTCAAAAATCTAGTTGCCATTATTGGCTCTCTGAAGCACTTGGAGCACCTGCTGGAAATCTCCATGCATTTTACTTTTTGGCTTTGCTCCTCCCACTGCTTCTGTTTTTGTAGTATCTTGAATCATTTGAAGTTGCTGCACTCTTAAGTCTTCTTGACGCTTGGCTGCCGCTCGAGTCTGTCTTTGATCCTTAGGTTCTTCTATCTCCAAAGCTTGAACAGTAGTCGAAAATTGTATTAATTCTTCTTGAATAATCAAATCACCCTTTTGGGCCTGTACCAACAATTCTTCTTTCTCCCCCTTTCTTGCCCCCTCTATTTCCGTCTTCCTTCTAGCTTCCTGGGGCTGAGGGCATCCAGCCTTTAATACATTGGTATAAAAATCTCTTGCCTTCCACACTGAATTGAGATGGTATCTTTCTCCTGAATAATTCACCACCAAACCAGCTGGAACTTCCCATCTATACTGTATCTGACGGTATCTCAATTCTTCCACCAGAAAGGCATAATCCTTTCTGGCTCTCAACATTTTGGGGGGAATTTCTTTCAGTGTTAAAACCTCCTGCCCCTGCACTTGAAGTTTGTTTTTAAAAGTGACTTGTAGGATTTCATTGCGTAATCTTCTTGTTGTAAAATAAACTACAATGTCTCTTGGTAGATTTTTCTGTCTGGCCACCCATGAATTGACACAATAAATTTTGTCAATTTGCCATTCAAAATTTGCTTTTTGATCTTCCATTATCTGTGCAAATGCTTCTGAAAAGATCTCTCTCAAATTCTCTTGCTTATTTTCCTTGAGGCCTCTTATTCTCAAAGCAAATTCCATGTCTCTATATTGTATCATTATCACATCCGCCTCTGCTCTTTCCATCTTGTCCTGGACCTCCCCCATTTTATTTTCCAAGTTCTCATTAGACTGCTTAATTTCTTCCACTTTTTCATCTATTGCTTCAATTTGTCCTGCCAATCCTTGTACTGCCATAATAATATCTTCTCTAATTTCTTGGTTTCATTTTTGAATAGTCTCTTTGACCTGTGCAATTTCTTCAGCAACTTCTTGAGTTTGCTCCTGAAACATTGAAGCAATTTTTGTTTCTGTAACAGAGGCTTGTGTTTTGAGGGCTTCCTGCAACATTTCAAATGTTAATATTGTTGGTTCCGTTGGAACAGAGAGAAATTGCAATCTGGACGTTTGAGCTGGTGAAGTCCTAGCACTTTTGGGGACAATAGCCTTAATTTGTTTTGAAGCCATTTTTAGTTTCCAATTTCAATTCAGTCAACTGCCAGAACTGTAAATCCACCAAATCCAGAAATCAGTCTTTAAATAATATCAGTCCTTTTTTTTTTTTTAAGGATCACTGCTGTAATCTCTAATCTTCTCCTTTTTAAAAAAAACCCACAAATCTCTAATTTTAGACAGGGGCTGCCAACACTAAAAGAAACTTTCCTTTTTAACTTTCGCTTTCACACCCCGTTAAAGCACAATCGCTATCTTGGTTTCACTTTCTCCCCTTAATAAATCAGAAGGAAATAATATACATTTGGAGTTAAAGTTCAGTACTTGCAGATCTCATCTCTCCTGAGTTTATTCAGCCTGCTTCCGAATGATGTTTATTCAAGCGTGGTTTGCAGAGGTGGTCGCGGCGTCTTCTGCTTGAAGCAGAAATGTCCCGGATCTGGAGCTCTGTCAGGCTTCCAGGGAGCTCTCACCCTTCAAGCCCCAGAATTGTTTCTGGGGCTCCTTGGGGAGCTCTACCTATGCCCGTCTGCTCTCTTCCTCCCCTTTTCCCGGGGAGAAAGTTTTCAAGCCGCTAGACAGCTGATTTGCAAGATCGCGGGGCTAGCGCTCAAGGGAAGAGCGTCCTCGGTGCCTGCGGTGCCACCAGAAGTCTCCTATGCTTTAAATCTTGATGCAGGTTGAGAAGAGTAGCTATGGCTGCCACACTGTGATATAATATACTCGAGAAGAGATTGCTGCTTTTACCCAGTCTTTAATTCAATATGGAAAATGAAAAACAGAAAAGCTGTTGAGATATTTAAGTAAAGTAGGTTCTGGATAAAAACCAACAGTGCTTTTCATAACTGTCTTCATAATTGTACCCAGCCATATAATGATTAGATATGTGCACAGCCAACATTTTAATGCAGCAGCTGCAGGAGCTATCAGCTTCTCGAATCAGGCAGAACATCAGGAGAGACACTTTAGTGTTTTGAGATGACTGTAAGTGGCAATGTGCTGTTCATTCCTGTGTTAGCCCTTATATTTCCTTTGACATTCTGTTCCTAAACAATATGGAATAGTGTTAATAGCATAGAAATAGGATGGCTCTCCAAAACCTTTTTGCAAGGTGACTGAATTAAACACATTTTCAACTCTTTTTACTCTGGGGTCAAAAACTGCAATTTAAATCCCTGAACTATGCTTATTTTTCCCTCAATATTAAATCCCATTTAAGATTATCAAAGTCACCTCTAAGACCAAATGAAATACCAATAGGGAAGTAAGAGTTATATAACACTGATATCATTTTAAGATGTATTGCAATCCTCACCATCAGCTTGGGAAGAAAATACAAAAAAATGGATTATGTATAATTCTAAGGGCTCACTCGTGCGGTTCTTCTTCATTCCATCCTTCTCTCTTTATTTGCTCTCTTCTTCTTCTTCTTCTTCTTCTTCTTCTTCTTCTTCTTCTTCTTCTGCTTCTGCTTCTGCTTCTGCTTCTGCTTCTGCTTCTTCTTCTTCTGCTGCTGCTGTTAGTCCTCTTGCTTCTTCTTCTACTGTATCTCTGAAATGAGAAACATGGTTCATTTTACAAGTCAAAATTTAAACCAACTTTATTAGAATCCTGATTTGGAAGGTAAGTAAAACAAATGTTGATTGTCTTTATCACAACTGTCAATGGTGGTTTGATACAAACTCTATAACAGCTAATGAAAGAAAGATGCAAGTGAAGAAAAAAAGTACTTCCATAGTGCCAAATTATGATTATGATCAAATTCAAAACTGTGTTCAATGGCTTTGGCAAAAATTCCAGTTTAAAAGAAAAATCTAATTTTATAATTAAATCAATTTTTATTGATTAGTTTTACCAAATAAATCTAATAATTCAAATTTTATTTAATTTCTTCAAAAAGAAATTCTTGGTTGTGTATCTCTATTAATTGTTGAAGGCTAAATTCTAAATTTTGTTTTAGTGATAAATGAAATTAATTGAAACAATGTTTTATTTTTGTTAAAATGTTTTCATTTCTTTTGAAAGATATAAATCATTAAAAAGTTTCACAATTTTTAACCAATTTTAACAGAGGAAGAGACAAGTCTATGAGTCAAACCTGATAAGTCATGGTTTGCAGCTTGAAGCCACAAAGTCGGTAAGTACAATCCATTGTACTTTTTAAAAATATATCTATTGCTGCATTAAAAAGAAATGAATTTATGCAGAAGTATGATATATGCATTTATATACATTTATATAAATATTACATATTTTGTATTTTTATATACTTTGTACATTCATGATTTATAAATTGATTTTTTAATAATTTGAGGAGATAAATCAATGTGATTAAATAAACAAATAAATAAGAGGAGAACAAATCTACTATCTTAAGATGCCTTTCCTCCACAGTGTTTGTTATATATATCTGTGATTGGTAAAGTCAGATCACTTGGATTTATACAGTATAATAAAGCCTTTTGTCTAATATTTAGATATTGACACGTCTCTCACTGGAATAAAAGCTCTTTGTGCATGCTTAACATAATATAGATCTAAGTTCATTCCCCTATTACAAGTTATTTATCTGAGGTATTGTACCCTAACAATACCTTTGATCTTATGTGGTCATGTGGAAGGAAAGGGATTGGCTTGGCAGAGAAAAGGCACTCTTTTCTCTGCTGCTTTTAAGTGACCATTCCTGTGTTTGCTAATGGAGTATGTGTAAAACTGGCCTATCTATTTTGTTGAAACTCCATTTTGTTGAAAAAAATATCTTCATTTTGCTCACTTCTGTTCTTAGTTGTTTTCCCTTTGGGACCTCTCATCCTTGGGCCTCATATACTTGCCAAAAAATTCCAGGAAGGCTACATTAAGGAACTTGTACCAAGCCAAGCAGTTGATTCAGGGTCGACTCCCCTTTCCTGTTACAGATAAATTAACTAGAAAGTTTTATATACTTAATTACTAGATTTATCAGTTAGGGAGTGATGGGTAAGAGCTTTGTTATTTTAGTAATAAGCCCACTTTCTGGAAGGGCCATCCTCTGCCAGGGATGTGAATACTTTATAGGTTGTTGCCTATTTGCTATTGATCATGTGCCTTGGATTTCTTTTTTCCCAAATTTTTTTTTATTATTTTTTAAACATAAAACATAAAATACATCTTTTTAAAGCAAGGGTTTGGTCCGTCATAAAGTAAGTACAATTATTCAAATTCCCTCAATCAACTTTGTTCCAAATTTTGTCCATTTACATCTTAAAAAGAAAAAAAAGAAAAGAAAAAATATCTTATTCTAAACATTTATCATTCTACTATTACGCCCAAAATTCTAAACAATAAACACTATTCTAAATCTTTATCATTTTAACAGTCAATATTTCATATATATTCCTCAGTCCTAAGACCCATTACCACAAATCTATATTTTACTTCACTTAAATGACATCTAATATCCATAATCTTGACAAAAAGTATTTTCCTTCTCTTAAAGTCATTTCATAAGCAATCAACATTTCCTTCTATAGTTTGTTACTTCCACAAAGTTTATTTTGTTTATTTCAAATTTATTCTCATATTCTATTGAGTCTAATTTTTAGCTAATTCATAGTTTAAATGTCTATTTCCCAGCTGTATTTTCCCATACGGCTATCTCTATTTATTTAGACTGGTTTACAGTTTAGCTCCTATTCTCCAGTAAAATCTCTTCCACTTCCTCCTAAATTTATTTTTTAGCTGGTTCGCATCTTAATCTGCTGCTTTCCAGCAATGCTTTCCTCCACTCCTTACCTTAATTATTTTGGCTGGTTCACAGTATTATTTTAACTGCACACCAACCTTCTCCTTAACTCCTGCCAAATCTATTAGAGAACTGGTTCACAACTCGAGTAGTTGCCTTCCAGCAATGCTTTCCTCCACTCCTACCCCTATTTTTAACTGGTTCACAACTTTATTTCAATTGAACCCCAGGTATAATCTCCTCCACTCCTAACTTTTTATTTTTGGCTAGTTCACAGTTTTGCTTTAACTGTTTCCAGCATATGCTTTCCTCCACTCCTAACTCAATATTTTTATTTTTAACTGGTTCCCAGTTTACTTTAACTGTTCTCCAGTATGATGTTTTCCCCCATTCCTACCTTATTTGTAAAACTGGGTCACAGCTTTACTTTCACTGATCTCCAGAGTCATGCTTTCCTCCACTCCTAAATTCATTTATATAAGCTAATTTGTAGCATTTATCTCTTATTCAGTTGCTTAGTTCCAAATTACTTCAAAGTGTGTTACCAATATTGTTTTCCAATCTATTCTCCTCCATGTCTCTTACCAATTTAAGATAGAAATATATTTCAATAAATATTTTATCTCCTATTCTCTCCTAAGTTTTCTCCCATTCCATGCTTGTTTCTTATTTTCAATAAAAATATTTTAAACCACTTTAAGATCAATTTTTTATGATTATTAACTCTATAAATAATTCTTTTTAGCATCCAATGCCTTGAAAGGAAAACAATTTCTTCCATGTTATTAAATCTGTAAATAATGCTTGCTGAGAATACAAAATTTAAAAAGGCATTAGAATATCAAAAATCATGTTTTTCTTCAATCATTTATGCTCTTATTTCTTAATCAAATTGTTTATATATTTATATAAAAAATAATAAAAGAGAGAGAGCAATAGCAATAATAATAATAGTTACAGTGAAAAAAAATAAAAATAATAAAAATAAAACAATACTAAAAAAAGAAAAAAGGGAAGAGAGTAGAAATATAAGCAAAGAAGTCAAATGGGTTAAAAAAGAAAATAGAGAGGGAAAAAAAACAAAGAGAAAGATACAAAAAGAAAGAAATAGAGAGAGAGCATAGAGAAGGTGAAAAAAGGTATCTCCTAACATTATTCAATCACCCAGAAACCATTACATTCATTTAAATCAAAATATGATATTTTGTTGTCTTGTTACATGATATATTCCATAATTCCTTTCTCCAGTCTATCCAGATATGTATCTTTTCCATTTCAATGTCATCAAAGTTATGAATTCTACAAAATTAGCTCTGAAGCAATTCCATATATGGTATCATCATGTCCTTCTTCTATTGCCACACCCTTCTTTTGTTGCCACATTTATTAGTTCAATTATCATTGTTCCATTTAATTTCTTCTTTCTATTCTTCAATAAATCCTCCAGTGTACAGATTATATATCCTAAGTCAAGTTCTCTAAGTCTTTTCCTCAAAATAGTCAAGTTTAAACAACAAGCAACAAAGTTTCTCTTTTCAAGTAACAAGTGGAATTTAGACTTTCACTTTAGCTGGCAACCATTTTGTCCATCTCCGTTTGTCTCCGTCTCTTTGCTTTTAAAGGCATAATTATATCCTCTTCTCCTTCCTCTCTCCCAGACACAGTCCAATCTCATTTATCCACCAAAAAGAAAAGAAAAAATATATCCAGATCTGTAATCAAACATCTCCAAGAAGTCAGCAATTCACGCTATCCACCAACAGGTCTTTTGTCTTTGTGCCCCAATAGTTCTCAGCCGCTATCAAGGTTGGGCAAAGTAATTGTAAATTAGCGTTTGTGGGCAGTACTGCCTGGGCCAATGTCCACTCACCCGGCATCCAAACTCCCGGCTCCGCTCTCCGCTTCTCCACCTCTCCTCCTGCACATTCTTATATCCTGGTTGCCGCGGTCTCAGGGCAGCCGCTCCACCGCCGCCGGCACAGAGGGTAAACCTCCGGCCCCGAGGAACCTGCCCATTCCTCTCAGCCATCCGAGGGGTCCCTCTCTATCCCCCTGTCCCTACAGGACAGGGTAGGTCCAAGGACCTACCGGCGGGGGCTTGGCAGACGGGGTTTTTGCGGGGCTCCAAAGAGCCCGCTAATTCCCTGTCTGTATCCCAGCGGCTCCAACCGGAAGTCCCCATGTGCCTTGGATTTCTAAATTAGTATAGCTTTTATACCATGTGCCTTGGATTTCTAAATGGTATAAAAGCTATGCTAATTTGTATTGAGGCTCTCAATTTGTGATTTAGTCCCAAGAGCATACCTCTTTGTGCTGTACAAAATGAACAGGTTTCAATTTCCCACTTTGTGTGATAATTGGCTTCTTCTCACATGAAAAACAAATCCAGCAATTATCATTCTCTCTCTCTCTCTCTCTCTGTGTGTGTGTGTGTGTGTGTGTGTGTGTGTGTGTGTGTGTGTGACACCAAGAGAGAGGCATGGTTTACAGATAGTTAAAACAAAAAAGTGAAAGAAATACTGTTTAGTTCAAGCCAGGCAGGTGCAACCCAAGCCTACAGGCCACATGTGGCCCTGGACAGCTAGTAATATGGCCCCATAAGATCAAATAAAAATATATATTAAAAAAGGAAGTTTGTTATTTATATACATTAACTATATTGTATATTTTATATGCGTCCCAAGTTAATTCCTCTTCACTCAATGCGACCAAGACAAGTCAAAAGTTGCCTGCTTTAAGCTATAGAGCTAAAAGTTAAATAGCAAACACATAGAGGAAAATCACAGCTACAGGTAGTTAAAGTTTCCCTGAAGCTACAACAACTTGAACAGGTACAGGTGAAGCAAGGTCAGCCATAAAGAGAGTGGGATGAGCCAGGAACAAGGGCAGTTCAGCAGTAGCAGACCTCATTGATATATTTAATATGGGAAACCAGAAGCAGTCCAGTGAGCAAGGCCCAGCAAAAAGTCCAAGTCTGTTAGCAGTGGAGAGCTATCAAAGAGGCCCAACAAGAAAGATTGATTGAAGGGCAAGGTTTTGAATGTGTGCTCAGTGGGATTCTGGGAGGACTTATTCAGAGAGATTAAGAAGAAAAGAATGGTTCACTGGAAAGCAACCAGTTTTCTATCACTAGAACATGGTCTCTTGATCAGGGCTTTTTTTATTTTTACACTAACAGGTTTTGCAGCCAGAAAAAGTTTGACTAAAGAGTGATAGAAAGTGACTGCCAGTTGTTAAATGGGCTGAAATTGTTAGGAGAGGCTTCCTGGAAGAAGATGATGTGAGACAGCAGATCCCAGGACAGAGATCACCCTAAACTTTGGAGCCAAGTAGTCTCTGGAGACATTTAACAGCTCAAAAACAAACCCTTGATGATGTTAAAGGAACCTCCTTAGAACACCAAGGCGGGCGATAAAGCATAGGCCTAGATGCATTAGAGGTTGGACTGGAAAATAAATTACACTCTCTTCTGTAATTAAACTTCCAATTCATAGGACTTACCACCCCTTTTGCTTGTGCTGGAACCTTCTGTATCAATTTTAAGCATATGCAGCCCTAGTGACTATATCATTACAAAAAAGAAACAGATTCAGTTTCTATATATTCTGATTAAAATTGAACATAAATGGCAGTCATCATACTTTTAGGCACCCATCCATAAATATGCTGAAATGAACTGTTATATAAATGTCCCTTTTTAAATTCACACTTTATAGCAGGAGTGTCAAACTCACATCATCATGATGGAGTCACGAGATGTTTTGGGACTTCGCTAAACCGGGCTTGGGCATCACCAGCATGAGATGCATCCGGCCCACAGGCCAAGAGTTTGACAGCCCTGCTTCATTTCTTCTTAGTCCGACTTATATTGTAGGCTAGTAAGATCAACTTTATATATTATTTGAAACTCAGATTATCACAGGAAAGCAATAAAATTAAGAACAAGCAAAGTCTTATATTCAAATTGGTAATATTTATGATTATAAATCAATTGTGTGCTCGTTCCATCATCTGGAAATGTTCATCAATGAAAACATTTTCAGAATGGTAATCATGCTTACAGAACAAATTTACAGTCACAGCTGTTAATATTGTGTTATTTATACAACTTTGCTTGGAATGTATTTCATACATATTTTGTATGTAGATCAGATAAGTGTAAACTTAAACAATTAGGATGTAAAATTAAGATGGGGCCTGGTGGCTCAGCAGACTGATAGCATTGTGATTAACACCAGCTGTCTGCAATTACTGTAAGTTCGAATCTCACCAGGCTCAAGGTCGACTCAGCCTTCCATCCTTTCTAAGGTGGGTAAAATGAGGACCCACTTTGTGGGGGCAATAAGCTGACTTTGTATAAATATACAAAAGTATGAAGGCTATTGCTTAACACATTGTAAGCCGCCCTGAGTCTCCGGAGAAGGGCGGCATATAAATAATAATAATAATAAAAAAAATTTAATAGAAACTGATGTTTTTATTTTCTGCAAGGTTCAGGTTTGCTGATATTTCTGAATTATGTAGAACAATTACAAGACCACTCTAAATGAAAGCATTAGCATGGCAAATATAGTTGAATGTAAGTAAGCATGAAGAGAAATATGTTAAGTAAAAAGTGTATTTAACTGGCACTGAAACTGGCAATCTTAACTAGCAGTGAAAAAAGAAAAACAGGGACTTAGGATTTTGGTGCACACTTTGAGAAAAATATATCATTCAAGAGCTGTGCTGCTACTGCTGTTGAAAAAAATGTCATGAGTTGAAGCCATGTTTCCATTTCAAATTTTAGATATAGTTTTTTTCCTGTTTAAACATTTTATTAGATTATAGAGTAAAATATAGAATGCAAAAGCAAATAGGAAGACAGTGGGGAGGAAAAAGGGAAAGAGAAGTGAGGGGGGACAGGGGGAAAGAAAACAAAAGCATGAGTTCAGACTCCCTGTATTGCAGTAAAAAAAAGCATTAACATCAAACCACAACCTTTTGCTTTTCCATAATAATATAAACTAGCCATTTCTATAAAAACAAATCAATCTAATCAGTAATGCCCAAAATCAAGGTTTCATTTTTTTCTACCTCAAGCACAAAGTAAAGAAGTGTTCTCCATGTGGCAACAAAAGTAATTGTTTTTTTCTCTTATCAAAGCAGTCAATTTAGTCATCTCTACTAACTCCATCAACTTTTGCAGCCATTCGTCCATGGTGGGAATCGAAATGTCCTTCCATTTTTGTGCATACAGTAGTCTTGCTCCTATCAATATGTATAAGATCAAAGTTCCAAATTTTTTATCAAATTCTTTGACTATTAGACCCCAAAGAAAAGTTTCTGGTGTTATCTTTATCAAGATAAATATATTATAATCGATATCCTTTTACTGCAGGTCATGGATGAAAAGCTGATCTTTGTAAAGGTGCATGGTCCTTGGGAAGTGCTATGTAGCTATGCTGAAATTATGCACATCAAATTGCCTTTGCAACCCGATGATACGAAAAGTCATGACTCAGCACTTACGTGGATTAGCAGATTCTTTAATGTGGATGAAAATATCATCAACCCAGAACAGGAGTTTTTTACTGCTGCATTTGAAAATGAACATATTTCAGACTTTTATATTCAGGACAAGGACTCTTTCTTCAATTCAGCAACTAGGAGCCGAATAGTAAGTTGTAGAATTTAGTATTAAAGGATGTATTTTTAAGTGCAATATTAGACTAATGTTTATTTTGTTCTTCTGAATATCAAAGCAATATGTAAAACAATGCATTGCAGCATATAATCAAATGTTAAGGAAATATAAAACGTTGAAAAATTAAGTGGCAGACAAAGTACAACTCACTAGAAAAAAGAATAATTTGAATCAAATCGATGCTCATTTTAGTCCAAAACATCTCCAGTTAGAGCTGAGCAAGACTCTTCTTTGAAACTGATGAACAAACTGATGTCAGCAAATATAGATAATATTGAAATATATGTACCAAGAGCATTTGCATAAGGCTGGTTTCTATATGACGTTGTCAGTGCTACCAATTTTTATTCTCATAATTTGTTTTGCCAAATTATGAACATGAACATATGAACATCGGCAAATTATAATGTGTTGGCCATGATTTTTCAACAGATTTTATTATGCAAATGTTCATTTTCAAAGCTGTTTGTGTGAAAGTACTCTTAAAAAACAGAAAATTCACAATGTTGTGAAAACATTCACAAACTCTTTTGGTCTGCAGGACATGCCATAAGAGTTATTATAGATGTTGTAGCCCACATGAAACCAGGACCATATGCTTTAAAAACTGTATTTTTTGAAAAGTCAAGCATTAGTTCACATGGGCTGTGGAAGCATTCACGGCACAAATAAAGAAAAACATGTATTCAGCTACTAACCCCTGACTAAGACGTTTCCTTACTGCTGAGCTCTATGATTTATCATCATAGAGATTCAAGAAAAGTGAATGCTGTTTGCCACTGTTACAAACCACTGCTATTACCTGATTTTTACCCAAGATGACAAAATCTAATAGTTTTTGCACTGTTTGAAGCTGCCTTTAGACAGTGTCATAATACATGGGAAAATACTATTTTAACAACTAAGGATGACTTATGCCTGTTTCATTCATAGGCTGAAGAGAAGATGAAGGCAACATTATGGAGACATAGCAAACAAAAGTTGTTGCCAGGGTTTGTTTATGCCATAATTAGTTGCAACTGGGGAAAAGTATTTAAAAAGAACACTGGTAAATATCAAGAGAAAATTACAGCAGGAAGATATTTTGCCTAGTAACTGCATGTACTCATAAGTATTGTCTCATAAATATTTTCCCACTTTTTGAGTTCATTCCCTGCTAATGAAGAAATTTGGGCGGGGGGGTATTTCAGGTTTACTTTATTCTTTGTCGAGAAGAGTATGCTACGAAAGATAATGTAAGAAAGTTTGGTATCAAGAAACTTCTGGACTCTGGAATCTACAAGGCTGCTTTTCCACTCCATGATGTGAGTCTAATTTATAAAGAATTATCTTTTTCTTATACTGATATAAAATGTTAATCTTGTGATCATTTTTTAAGATGTACCAAATTCACTCTGTTATGCAAACTCAACTAAAAATCTTCACAATGGACAGCAACAAAGGAATGTATAAATTTTACATACTAAATTGTATTGACATAATTATGTCTCTGTCACAGGGATGGAATTCAACCGGTTTGGACTGGTTGGGCAAACTGGTAGGGATTACCTGAATCGGTTCACCAAACCGGTAAAAAACACTCCTGGTTAGCCCCGCCCACTTCCACTTGGTCGCTCAGTCGCCACTCACCCCTTCCAGCCACTTACCCTGCCCACCCACCCCCGCCCTATATGTGTTGCCTTTGCCATGCAGCCTGGCTGGAAGGGGTGAGTGAGCAACTGGAAGGGGTGAGCGGCAACTGGGCGAGCGGGCAAGTGGCCAGGGATGGGTGGTGACTGAGTGACCGGGCGGAGGTGGGCGGGGCCAACCAGGGGTTGTTTTTACCGGTTCGGCGAACTGATTCAAATCCAGGGGTGGTTTTTACCAGTTTGGCAAACCAACTCACAGCAGGGAATGGGGTGTGTGGCCGTGGCCAGCGCATAGAACAGGGTGGCACATACGAGAAGTGGAGCGGACAGAGGTTGGTAAATTTTTTTCACTGCAAAAAGCCTGCAGCCGCCATCTCTTTTTTGGTGCAAGAAGCAGAGGCAGCGGCTGCAGGCATCTCGCAACCAGCTTGCCTTCCCCTCTTGCCTGCCACCAGCCACCACGGGAGGAAGGTAAGCCCAAAGAGGCAGTCGTGGGGGAGGAAGCGGGCAAGAGGGCCAGGGCCTCTGAAGGAATTTGAAACAGGGCTGGAGAAGGGAGAGCAGGAGGCCTTTGACAGATTAGGCCAGGCCTGGGCAGAAAATAGGAAGGTAGAAATTCAATAATATATTAATACAACTACTTTTAAACAAAGGCATTTAGACTCTATTTTCACATTTTATAAAATTTATGTGGTTTGGAAATTGAACACTTGAACTATATTTTTAATTTATTTTTCAGTTTTATGCATTGATCATTTAATTCTGTAATTGGTCCCAGTAAAGAAGAATATTTGTAGCTCAGGATTGAAATGAGGGTCCTTCGTGCTCTCTGAGCTTGGTTGTTTTATTGCAGATGTTTCATTACCCAAACTAGGAAACCTCATTAGTGCTAGTCTTGCTATGCTATAATTTGTCCCTTCATGTGGCAAATAACAATTGCCTATAGATTTGCAGAAGCATGTCTTCAATGGTATAATTGTTGGCAATCCTGATAATAGTTTTTAGAACTATAATAAAACACAACAGGCAAATAAAATTTGGTCCTTATTAACACTGGACAAAGTAGAATATACCAAAATTTGTTCCCAGGAGAAAATACATGAAAAAGAAGTTACAATGAGATGAACAATGACTGAGTTAGTCACGAACATACTTCAGAGTTGTTTAGGACATGAATGATTCATTGGGGACTGGATTTTGACAACTGTTTTACATAGCTAGTTTAATTGCATTTCCAGTAAGTGACTCTAAGACTCTGGTGTGAGCTGGATGTTTTATTCAGCTGTTGGAAGAATATCTTATTATTATTACCTATAGCTAGCCTAAGAGGAGTCATGTAGTCATGATAACAGATTTTTAAGAGGAGTTATTCATGAACACATCTTGATTTTTAATACCCAAATTGTCTTGATTTTTAATACCCAAATTGTCTTGAAATCTGAATACTTGCTCTCCTGTATTAAATGTCAAGCTTTAAAATGTAATTAAATTGAGTTCACTGGGATAAATGATTATTTATCCTGATTCCAGAAATTTTTCCAGTGCAGATGCTGCCATTCCACTCAGGAGTAATCCTTAGCTTGAAAAAGATTGCACATTATACAGAAAAATAAAACATTTCTTCATTCAAAGAGACACAAACAACTGTCAGAGAAAATTTCGCCACTCCAAAAAGTGCCACTTCTGATCCTTAAACTGATTTGCGTGAACAGGTCTTAGCTCAATCTGCTACTGGAACAAAATAAAGCAATTATGACCACCATTACCACTTGAGTAGCTTTTTAAAAATAATACAGGAGATTCTAGTTTCCTCCATAATAATGATAATATATATATTGATCTGGCATATAAAGGTAAAGATAAAGGTTCCCCTTGCACATATGTGCTAGTCATTCCCGACTCGAGGGGTCGGTGCTTATCTCCGTTTCAAAGCTGAAGAGCCAGCACTGTCTGAAGATGTCTCCGTGGTCATGTGGCCGGCATGACAACACCAAAGGTGCATGGAACGCTGTTGCCTTCCCACCAAAGGTGGGTCCTATTTTTCTCCTTGCATTTTTTTACGTGCTTTCGAATTGCTAGATTGGCAGAAGCTGGGACAAGTAATGGGAGCTCACCCCGTTACGCTGAACTGCCAACCTTTTGATGAATAAGCTCAGTGTCTTAGCCACTGAGCCACCACGTCCCTTGATCTGGCATATAGGTGGTAGTAATTTCAGAAACCTTCAGAGTTATTATTCATGCTTGGTTGTAGGGCTAAATGTGATTAAAATAATTTAATTTGTGCCCTTGAATCATCAATTAATGAGAAAATATTTTGTTTATAGTCAAGATTCAATTACCAATCACAGGATCCTAAGTGCCCAAATGAACGGCACTTGCTATACAGAGAATGGGCCTATCCTCGAAATATTTTCAAACTGCAACCCTTAGATCTTGTCAGGTAAGTATTAAGGAGTGTTATACCATTCCTTATGATTATTTTCTTTTTCTATGAATAATAATCATTTAATAGAAAACCAGCCTTTATAATGTTGCATTAGGCAAATGTGAGAAAAAGCAAAGATGTGTTTCTTTACACAATTTATTCAGTATGTAGGCTATCAAATTGCCAATGACTCTGGCCAGCTTGCAATTAAAACATATAAACCAAAAAACGCAGTTCAAGCTCTACTTGGTCCCCAAACCTGGGAGAATTACCAGCTTTTTAATTATTTCCTGAATGTCATCAGAGTATGAGCCATCCAGGCCTCTAATAGTCTAAGTATATTTTGCATTAATTTATATTTGTATTAATACTTTTAATAATAATACTATGAGTAAAACTATTCTTAAAATAATATTTTTAAAAGTTCATTGGTGATAATACATATATAAGTAGTCCTTGCTTAATGACTACAAGTGGCCCAGCAACCCTATTGCTAAGAGATGGTTGTTAAATAAGATTTCACATGACTGTGAAGGACTTATGACCTCACTTCTCCTGAGGTTGTTAAGTGACCTGTGATTAAGAGAGACATCATTTGATGACAATTTGTGATTGTTTTGCCAAATTCTCCATTGACTCTGTCTGTGAAACATGAAAATGGCATGACTGTAGTATACTGCAAAAGTTCTAAATATCAGAAGCAGTCCTAAAGTTATATTTTTAGCACTCATAACTTCAAATGGTCACTAAACAGAATAGTTGTTAAGCAAGGACTGCCTATGAGTATAGAACATAAGCTTCAGGAAAAAAATCATATGGATCATATTATATCTTCATAAATACAGAATGTTGGATTCTTGAAAAGTTTTTGGAAAAATAAAGTTCATAGTGGTGTATACAGTACCTGATTATTCACAATTGGAACTGCTATTATGAAACTCTTATTGAACTTCCAGACTGAAATTCACAGTGTGAAAAGATCATCCTAGTGATAAAAGAAATGTGAGAGTTATTCTTTCAAGTAATTCCTGTGTATCACAGTTTATGAAATAGATAATTGCTTTTCCAAGGGACTGAATGGAAAGAAATGGAAGCCACACAGACTTCCAGCTAAGTTAAAGTAGAGCCTATATAGCCCTGGTGGCACAGTAGTTAGAAAGCAGCATTGTAGGCTAACTCTGCCCACAGCCAGGAATTTAAGCCTGACTTGCTCAAGGGGACTCCATCTTCCCGAGGTCACTAAAATGAGTACTAGACTGTTAGGGGCAATATGCTGACATTATAAACCGCTCAAAGAGTGCTGTAAAACACTGAAGTGGTATATAAGTCTAAGTGCTAATGCCAAGCACTTTTACTTGAAAAAAAACCCCAAATATTCATAAAACAGCCTGGAAGTTTGTTGGAGGGGAGCAGACAACAAAGGAAAACATCTGATGTTGATGTTGCTCATGAATTCAACTTTGAGCAAGGCATCTAATAAAGACCGGTTTGTCTTTCTTTCCTCTTAGATTCTATATCAGGATTTTTTTTCTTTCTCCCGTGGCATAGAGCAGAGTTCCCCAACTTTTTTGGTTTTGCGGACCAGTAGTGGGGAGGGGAAAGGGGATGGTTCCACGCAAGCAGCAAGCATGCACGTGCACATAGCTCCATTTATGCAAGTGGGGATACGCATGCACACTAGTGCGCTCACCTGCCACTTCCATGGCCCAGTTCCAAATGGCTCAAGGCCCAGAGGTGGGCCTCATCCTGAGGTTGGGGACCCCTGACATGGAGGAAGAAAGGCACGTTTGTCTCCCACTGTGAGTAAGACAATAGTCACACACTCCAGGATCAATTTTGTTTTTGTTTTTTAAAAATAGATCTTTATTAATTATTTACAAATAAAAAAACATATAATGTAATTTTCAAACAGATAAAAGTTATATATAGGTACACAACACAACACATAAAAACAACCACAAAGAAAGACTAACCGGGGGTCATTTCGAACCCCCAGATACTTATTCATAGTTACATCCTGGTAAATCCTTTTGTTCAAATAGTGTTGACTATTTTAAATATCAAACGCTATCTCATTATAATTAAATATATATTTAATACTATGTTATTTATTCTATATTTGTCCTCTTCTTTAGCCATATATACCAGCGTTCCCAGTTACTGTAGTATATGGATTCTTTTTTGTCTCTTAGGATATACGTTAATTTGTCCAATTCGGCACAATTCAATATCTTATTTATTATAAGTTGATCTGATGGTGTATTTGTATTTTTCCAATGCTGGGCAAGTGCCATTCTCGCTGCTGTTGTATTATGGATGAATAGGTGCCAGTCTTGTTTGCCCACGTCTTTTAGTTTGATTCCAAGTAAGAATCTGGAGTTAGGGGGAAACTTGCATCTGTTATCTCGTTCAACCATTTTTGAATCTTTTCCCAAAATTTCCTGATCTGAGGGCAGGTCCACCACTGGTGAAAGAAAGTACCCCTGGCCAAATTACACTTCCAACATTTGTCCGAGGATCCAGGGAACATTTTAGCTATCCTATCTGGTGGGAGGTACCACCTATATATCATTTTATAAAAGTTCTCCTTAAATGCCGCTGATAATGTCAATTTCATTTATCTATTCCATATTGCCTGCCATTCTTCAAGTTGCATTCGGTCTTCCTAAGTTTCTCCCCCAGGCAATCATCTTTTACTATCTCCTCAGCTGTATAGCTTGATAGCAAAAGAATATAGGTCTTAGATATAAATTTTGTTTCAACACCCAGAAGGAGTCTATCTAGCGGTTGTGTCGTTTGGTAAATACCATACTCATGTTTGTCTTTTCTGAATCTAGCTTGAATTTGGGCATATGACCACCAATCTATATCTATTCCTTTTACTTGAAGTTCCTTTCTTGATATTAAGTTCCCACCTCCATCCATCAGGACATTGTAGGTCCAATTTCTTTTTATATTATAAACAGTCGGGTAGGTTGCTATCTCCAATGGGACCACCCATTTAGGAACTTGAGTATAAGTTTGTTTCTTCACCTTTTCCCATATTTTTATTAAAATTCTTCTAATATAGTGGTTAATAAAATATTTAGATTGTTTTCCTTGTTGTGCCCACAGAGCTGAATGCCAGCCTTGGTGAAGATCAAATCCCTCAACCGTTAATATGCGTTTTTTCGAAAGGGATACCCAATCTCTTATCCAAAGAAGGGATGAGGCTTGGTAGTATAACTCCCAATTTGGGAGCCCCAAGGGACCCCCCCTCGTTTTGTGTTCCTGTAGCATTTTTCTTTTAATTTGTGGTTTTGCCAAATAAATTTGCTTATTACCTGATCCAATTCCTAAAGAAATTTTTATCCAAATTTACAGGAGCCGTATGAAATAGAAAAATCCACCATGGGAGGATATGGGCTTTGATTGCAGCAACCCTGCCCAAAAGTGAAAGCTATATATTCTTCCATCTATCTAGGTCCTCTACTGTATCAGCCAATAGTTTAAAGTAATTGGTCTCTTTAATATTAGAGCGTTTGTTTGTCAGCCAAATCCCTAGATATTTTACCTTCTTAGTAAATTTAAGTCCCATGGCTTCCTGCACCTTATTTTTTTGATCCTCTGTTAAGTTTTTGGATATCATTTTAGTTTTATCTTTGTTAATTTTTAATCCTGCGACTTCTGCATATTCTTCAATTCTCCTTAGCAATATCAGACCTGAAGTTAGAGGGTCTTCCAAGATGAATACAAGATCTTCAGCGAAAGCTTGGAGCTTGTATTCTTCTCCCTAATCCTTAGGCCTCTAATATCCTTGTCTTGCCTGATTATGTTGAGAAGTGGTTCCAAAGTTAAAATGAATAATAATGGTGAGAGAGGGCAACCCTGTCTAGTACCCTTGGAGATTTTAATCTCATCTGAGATTGTTCCATTAAATAGCAACCTGGCCGACTGTTTAGTATATATAGCCTGAATTGCATTTATAAATTTAGAGCCAAATTCCATAATTTTTAATTGTTGTGTAATAAAATTCCAATTGACCCTATCAAAGGCCTTTTTGGCGTCTACGAATACCATTGCCATATCTTTGTCTGAATACCTTTCATAATACTCCATTACATTTAAAATTACTCTTATGTTGTCTCAAAGTTGTCTATAAGATAGAAAGCCATTTTGGTCCTGATGGATGAAGTGGGAAAGAAATATTTTGAGTCTTTCTGCTAGTACTGTCGTAAAGATCTTATAATCGACATTTAAGAGTGAGATTGGTCTGTAGTTCTGAATTAGTGATCGGTCCGAGTTGGGCTTTGAGATCAACGAAATATAAGCTTCCCTCCAGGATTGCGGTATCTTGGCATCTGTTAAGGCCTCGTTAAATACTTCCTTTAGTTGAGGACTCAGCAAGTCAATAATACCTTTGTATAATTCACTTGGGAGACCATCGGGCCTAGGGGACTTTCCCCCCCCCCCCGCTTGCTTCTTAATAGCTCTTTCAATTTCGCCAATAGTAATCTCTTTGTTTAAAGTGTGCTTAAAAGAATTGGGGATCAGTTCCAATTGAAGTCCCTGGAGATATTCCCCAAGTTTATTTTCTTGACATCTTTCTTCTCCATATAAGGAGCCGTAAAATTCCTGGGCTATTTTTACTTTTTGATCCCTATTAACTGCCAAATTTCCATTTTTATCCTGTAGGTATTCTATTTTTCTTGCTTCTGCCTCTTTCTTTAGTTTATAATTTAACCATTTTCCAGTTTTGTTCGCATGTTCAAATTGTCTTTGTCTGCTTTTCCTAATTTTGTCTGCCAACTCCTTTTGGTCTATTAATGAAATCTCGTGTCTAATTAACTCTATTTTCTCTTTGGGTTTAAGATTTTGTGGGTCTAATCGCAACACCTCTTCCATTTTTTCTAACTCTGATATTAGCTCCACCCTTTTTGACCTTTCTTCTTTCCACTTGCGGGCTAAGTGTTTTATTGCTAATCCTCGCACTACGGCCTTAGCAGTGTCCCAAGTATTTTGTAAAGAAATGTCTTCTCTTTTGTTTTCCATAAAAAAAAAAATTGTAGTTCTATTTTTATCATATTAACAAAATCCTCTTCCTTCATTAATTCAGCTCTCATGGACCATCTCGCTCGTTTTTTTTTAACCCCTGCCCATTTGATTATTATAGGATGGTGGTCTGCCCATACATTTGTACCTATCTCCAATTCTTTAATCGCCTCTGCTGTTGACCAAAACATGTCAATCCGTGACCACGACCAATGTCTGGGGGAGAAGTAGGTGTATTGTTTCTCTTTAGGATGTAAATCTCACCATACATCTGACAGTCCTATTTCAGTTGCCAATTTGTCCCAAGTTTTTGATAGTGTTTTTCTCTGTCCTTTTGCATATTTTTGGGATCCCCTCCCTGGTTCATAATCCTTACCTACGTCTGAGATTGCATTAAAATCTCCCAAATACATACATTTTCATAATCGAGATCAGCTATCTTCTTATATAGTTTTTTTTTAAAGTTTTTTTGATCAATATTGGGAGCATAGATAATTACTAGTAAAGCCATTTTTAAACCTATTTTAATCTCCAAACATAATGTTCTTCCCTCTTCATCTGCATGTAATTGTTGAGTCACTAATCCTTTACGGTCATACACCGCAATACCTCGTTCTTTCTGATTGGCCAGGGATACATACAATTTCCCAAGTTTGGGACAAACTAACACCCTTTGCTGGTCTTTATGTATGTGGGTTTCTTGTAGACAAATTAGATCATAATTTTGTTTTTGTAGGTTAAGCCAAACTTTCTTTTATTTGGGGCGTTTAGACCATTAATATTCACTGAAAACAGGTGTAGCTCCTCTTCCATATCCTCACTTACCTGTGGCTTTCTGTTTTTGTGATCTAGTTTCCACTTGCAATCCAAGTCCATCCCCAACCCTTTCTTTTCCGTTCATCTTCTTCTCCTGTTCACCATGACTTTCCATCCTTGTCTCCTGTATAATATCTTCCAAGCTCCTGCTCTCTGGTTCCCCTTCACTTTCTCGATCAAAGCGAGTAAATTGAGATTCGTAAAATTCCTGTGCGTCTTGTGAGGTTTCAAGTCTAATCCTCTGACTCTGCCATGGATCAATTTTGAAACAGTTTAACTGGATTCAGAAAAGTTGCAAGATAGAAAACAGCTGATCATCGAGGATTCTGTTCCTTTTGAGCAAGTTTCTATTATTTTAACATCTGTGTAATGAGAATGCATACATGCATATAATCCATTATGCTATTCCCATTAGGGGGGAACTATATGTTATGCATAGCATAGAAAAAGAAAAAGAAGCAGTAAGCAAAACAAGTTAAGGCACAAGGTAAGTGAAAGGAAAGGAAATATAAACTTTAGTTTAGAAACTTTATAAACTTTAGTTTTCATTTAATTAAAGTTTTGCTATTTTAAAAAAATAACCATAACTACTTTTGAGTGATCCTGGAATCATTCTTAAAGACAGAAATCAGGGTAGCACATTGCATTATAATGTTTTCTTCTTGAATATATGAGAAACTGATTTTATTAATAAAGGAAATACACATCTATATATTCAAGGGATGTTGTTGTGTCCATAGGAAATACTATGGTGAGAAAATTGGGATCTATTTTGCCTGGCTGGGATTCTACACCCGGATGTTACTTCTGGCAGCAATAGTTGGTGTTGGATGTTTTTTATATGGTTATTTCACAAAGGATAACTGCACTTGGAGGTAACCTCATGATTCATGCTTCTCGTGTTATTTATAGTCATGCATAAAGATCCTATTTCCTAATTAGACCCGATGTCAGGATTCCAAGTAACACCCCCGACAGAAGTAAGGTTCTGAGGCAGCCATTTTCTCAAAGTTCCATTTTATTAGAGATGTCATATTGGCACATCTGGGAAAACCCGAATCTGAAAGTCTCCTGGGTTTTCCCCACCCAAAGGAAAGTCAAAGTCCCTTCCCCTGCACCCACATGTCCATCACATGGTCCAATCAGGTCACCATCCTAACTGGAGTTGTTTCTCAGTCACTCCTCTCCAGGTGCAGGCTGAATGTCCTTGACTCCCAGGCACTGGTGGGATTCAGCCAATTCGCACCACTTCGGGAGAACCAGTTGTTAACTTTCTGAGCAGTTTGATGAACTGGTTGTTGGAAGAAATCATTAGGGCAGAGAACCGGTTGTTAAATAATTTGAATCCCACCACTGCTCCCAGGGAAAGTATTTTGTTATGGCTATACATCTCACCCCATCTCCATCCAACCCCCCTCCCATTTCCCACAGCATGCCCATCCACCAAGTGTGGCAGCCCTGAAGATCCAAAGAAAAAGATGGCCTCCAGGGCTGACACCTGGCCGTTCTCATGTAATAATTTATTCTTGTTAGTACACATAGGCTGCAAATTCTGTACATATTTCTCAGAGAATAATAAATACATACTGAATTCCATGGACAAAACAGTAAGGATGCAGCAGAAGCATGTTCTTTTTTCTTCTTTGGTGGATCTTGGAATTGATTTCCAAAAGAATGAAAATGTTTAAAGCAGGGGTGTCAAACTCGATTTCATTGAGGGCCGTATCAGGGTTGTGTTTGACCTTAGGGGGCATGGGGCATGGCCAGGATGGGTCTGGCCAGTTCAATGTCACATATCAAGGCTCTGTTTTCAGCTGCTATGACCTCTGCCACAGCCCTCTGCCAGCAAAAACGGAAGCCAGGGAGGTTGCACACGGCCCTCCCAGGCTCTGTTTTTGGCCAAAATGGCTGCCTGCAGCCCTCTGACAATGAAATCTGTGCCCCCCTGTGAGATCCATTTTCAGCTGCAATGGCCTCCTGCAGCCCTCTGCCAGCAAAAATGGAGCTCGGGGGGCATTTGCTGGCAGAGGGCTGCAGGAGGCCATCGCAGCTGAAAATGGAGCCTGGGAGGGCCGTGCACAGCCCTCCCAAGCTCCGTTTTCACTGGCAGAGGCACTGTGGGCCGGTCCTTCGCTGTTTCCAGGGCAGCCCCACTGGCCTGATCTAAGCACTCCATGGGCCAGATCTGGCCCGCAGGCCTTGAGTTTGACACCCCTGGTTTAAAGTATCACCAGGTTATTTTAAATTAGGGCTTAATCAGGAAAATGGAGATTTCAGGAGCAGAGAGATACTGCCCTTCCTTTGCCACTGGAATTCCCCATTTGTAGAGATAATCTCAGCAGAGATGGGGAAGAGACTTGTAGAATTTTGGCCAACATATCAGGGACATCAACAAATGTCCCTGATATCAGGGACTTCCAACAAAACTACCCCCTCCCTCATATCCACAGATAGGTTTGTTAATCCTATTCTAATCACATTTAGCTAGATGATCTGGACAACCAGATTTTTATTGGTTGTGCCTGAGTAGACAGGCATAGGATTGCATCACTCAATATTTATGCTAGTTTAATAAATCAATTTATTATTTCAGTTTTATCTGTTCTTTTAAAACCATAAAGGTATATGGTATCTTTTTACTATTAACTCTATTCAGTGGAAAAACTACTAAAATATTTATTTATTTTATTCATTTAGTTTGTCAAGCATGTATAAGATAACAGGTATAAATTAAACATGGACATGAACACAGGAAATGAGTACAAATAAATGGGGACAGTAGGACAGGGATGGTAGGCACTCTGTGTTGGCAATTCTTATTTGCTTGGGTTCGTTCCAGGCTTGGGTTCGTTCTGGGCTGAGTAACCACACACACAATGGATGTTCATCAAACCTGGTTTAATACAATACAATCTAGTAACTGCCAGACCCGCTGGAGTGGATCAAAGTCGGAGCTAAGCGATCGGTCATCTCGCTCCGTCTTATAGTTCCTCTCAATCTATCACCGCCAATCACCAATCATTTCACCTTGTTCAGCTGTGCCCAGCGTTCAGCGGCTGTGATGTGGTTTGAATCCGCCGTCTGCTCCCCATCACAGTCGAGGCCGGATGATGTTATTAGATCTGGCTGGTCCAACCGCACCTATCCTTGCCAAGTCCCTGCCATGCCCGCCACCACCTATTGTGCAACATCATCCTATCCACACCCTATCGTTTCCACCACCAACACCCATGCTAAGCAGTAATGTGGGAGGCATGTGTCATTGCTGGATCAGGTTTTCTCGCCGTTTCTATTCCCTTCCGTTTCCCTCATGTCTGTTCTGTGTCAAGTAGTGCTGGATGCTCGACACTCTGGTGCGCTTATGGACGCCCCCTTTACGGATCTCTTAGGAATGGGGTGAGGTCCACAGTAGACAGTTTAAGGTTGAAGCTGTGGGGGTTTGAGGATATAACAACGTTGTCAGGTAGAACATTCCAGGTAGACCACTCTGTTGCTGAAGTCATATTTTCTGCAAACCTTGAGTTTGTATCTATTGTTTGACCATGTATTATTGAGGTTGAAGCTGAAGTACTTGTTGACAGGTAGGACATTGTAGCAGACAATTTTGTGTACTATGCTTAGGTCAGACCATAGGCGGCGTAGTTCCAGGTTGTCCAAACCCAAAATTTCAAGTCTGGTAGCATAAGGGATTCTATGTGTGGTCCAAATGTTTCTGCAGTGTAGGAGTTGCAGATTACAGGACAATTTTTTCCTGAAACTAAACTGCTTGTTAGAAAGCAGGTTGTTTGTGTTTAAGTGGAGGGTGATGGATTGGTTTATAATTGATTCCATGACTTTACAGGTGACGCAACACAGTGAGATTGATCTGTAATTTTCTACTAGTCTCCCTTTTTGAAGATAGGAATGACCGTGGCTAATGACCATAGGTCGGGCAAGGAGCTGGTTCTGAAAAATACCTCATAGATTGTGCTTAGAGGTTTGGCTAGGGCAGTGGAAAGCTTTTTCAAGAAGTAGACACATAACCCATCAGGGCCAATAGATAGAGATGGCTTTAGGTTGCGTAGTGCAACCTAAATATGCTGAGAATGTGGAATGTCAGATTCCTAAAAGTGATACTGCCATTCAAGTGGAGGAAGGGGGGACTTGGATTCGATTTACTAGCATGGCCTGTGTCATCAGATATTTTACAACCTATATCCTGGCGCCAAGGAAGCCTGAGATTCCCTTTACCTGCAGGAATTTATATGATAGTCATGTGGGTTGTCTCACTTTAAAGGGTAGTGGTGGGAATGCATGTTTGTTCAGGTTCTCAAAGGAAATAGTAAAGAAAACATCTTCACACTTGTGTATTGGCTAAAATCTGCATTCTGACTTAAAGGGAGGGGTCCTAACCACTTTAATCCTACTGTTTTGCCTAAGGGTATTCAGATTGTGCTTTAGCTGGATGGCTTTCACTTCTGCTTAATAAAAAAATCCTTTTGAACAACTACGTTTCAAGAGTTTGTACTTTCTTAAATTGGAAGGAGAGGTGATCCTTACAGAAAGCACAATCTGCAAAACGGTCAACCCAGAGAAGCAATTCGCTCTACTGAGGGGACCTTGCAAACCATGTCTGAACAAAGCAGTGAGCTGGGAGAAACTGATTGCTGGGGAGAGACAGCAACCGCCACCCAGTCGGATGCGTCTCGTGCAACCCATCGGAGAGGATGAGGTAACCCTGGAGAATCCTGAAAAGTCCCGCTGGTCAATTGGCATCGGAAAGAAAGATGGCTGGGATGAGAGAACCAGAGGAGTCACCCTCAACTGTGGCAACCGAAAACCGGTTCCAGTTTTAGTTCCAGTTTCAGAAAACCGAAACTGGAACTAGAAGCCCTTACTGACCAGGGGGGACTGACCAAAGCACCCCTGAGGGAGGACTATCTGAAGAGGCATATAACCCAATTGGTGATGGAAACTTTGGAAAATCTCAACATCCGAAGGGAGCCAGGACAACAACCAAAGAGCACTGAAAGGGCAGCAGTCGTGGATGATGCCTGGGGAGGCACCCCCCTCCTGGAGCCCGCCTATCGAGCAGACGGTGCAGCAGCAGTGGGAGAAGACCCAGCAAACCCTCCCCCCCAGGCAGCACGCACACCGGCGCCCATTCCCAACCAACCCTGAGCTCCTCAACTGGAAAGAGAAACTCCCCCCCTTGGGGTGAAGTTTGATGGGAATCCGCAACAATTAGGATTCTTTGTGGCACATGTGCTAACCTACATGCAAGAGTATGGGCATGATTTCCAAACCCAAGGCTCCCGAGTGCGAGTTGTGACCCTAGCCCTAGAGGGTGCCACAGCCAGATGGATGGTGACCCTACATAACACCAACGCACCAGAACTGCGGAATTTCGACCATTTCATGATGGGCCTGTGACGTCAGTTCGAGGACCCACTGGCAGATCGCAAAGCATGTGACTGCATTAAGGTGGTGAAGCAGGGGCGACGGCCAGTAGCAGAGTATACTGAAGAGTTCCAGGACCTCGCATGTCATGTGCACTGGCCAGAAGATATTTTGGTGAGCTGTTTCAAGGATGGCTGAGTGATGATCTATACAATGCCTGCGTGGCCCGAGGGGCACCGAATGACCTACATGAATGGTATGTCACCGCCGAAGAAGCTGAGACTGATATGGCCAGAAACCAGTATCGAGCGGGGCGAGTATGGAAGAAATTCTCACCCCAATGGAAGCAAGAGCCCCTCAAACCACAAACCGCATTCTCCCCGAGATCTTCAGCCTGTTTCAAGTGTGGAAAAGAAGGGCACCGAGCTGCAGAGTGTCGTTTGCAAACACCCGCCCAGAACCACCCACCAGGGGAGGGTCCTGCAAAACCGGGTCG